CATGAAGATTGCTGGTGTGTTGCTGTAGGATCAGAACTAAACTGTAAACTTCCAGATTGGCAGTTCAACTCTACCAACTGCTCCTCAGAAACCCTACTTGTTTGCTACAAGTGGGAATAAACTTGATGGCACTTAACAACAACAACATAAAGGCATGAAATGATGGTTTACATGATTTAATGAGTATGCTTAATTTCAGAATGAGAAGGTTAAAGTAAAATCTCCACTGAATAATTTTCCCTTTTTTCAGATGGATCTGGAGAAAGGGGCTGGGGAATGATTGTGATAGGATTTTATGATTCAATTGTCAGTGAGTGTTAGCAGGATTAATTGTGATTTTCACAACTGTAATTATAGAAGACATGTAGCTAAAAGTAGTTAATCTTTCATTTCAGAAACAGAGGATCCCAGGACCATCAAGAAGGATGAGCAAGAGTGGAGCATGAGAGTGACCTAGAAAAATGGTGAGAGTAGACACAGTGACAGAGGTGATGTCATGGAGAGACAAGCTGCAGGGAGCACCAGCCCCACAGACTGAATAAGGCTCCCGTCTAGGAGTCTGGCTTGCAGAATGTGCCATTAGGACACTTAAATTTAATATATATGCATTGTGTATGTGTATGTGTACATAAAATATTTTTGCCTTGTTCATTTGTGAATTGTAAGATGTAAAAGGGAGGCCACAGGGAGGAAATAGGATAACTTGTTGCAGGGAGGGGATTGTAATCATGGAAATGAAATAAATTTTATAATTTGTTGAATGCAAAGATGATGATCTTGTCTGTGAACCTTAACTTAATTCACAATAAAACGTTAAAATAAATAAGTAAAATACCAGTGGCATAATTTCAAGCACAACAGCAACACATAAACCACCACATTAGAACAAACTGACAGATGAGTGTTGGGTATATTAGTTTGAGAAAAGTGGTATTGTTTTGGATTTGTTGATCTTTATACAAGTGAATTCCCCCAGCTATAAGCCTTCCAAGTGTCTCTATGTTCCTTTATACGTGGTTCAGAGTTCTAGCATCATCCCCTGAGCCTGCTTGGTCCAGTATTCTGTGTTGGTGATGGAGATCCATACTGTATGTTTACCTGATCCTCAATCAGAGCTGAACAGAAAATTTCAAAGATCAGCTCAAGAAGATAAAGCCAATATTACAACAAAATGTGCAAAGATCTGGAATCAGAAAACCAAAAAGGAAGAATACACTCAGCATTTCTCAAGCTGGGGGAAATTTCTCAAAATTCAACCCTCCACTTTGGTTATTGAAAGATTCACTGGGCAAATTATTGAATGATGCAGAAAGCATCAAGAGAAGATGGAAGGAATACACAGAGTCACTATACCAACAGGAAATGGTTCATGTTCAACCATTTCAAGAGGTAGCATATGATCAAGAGCCAATGATACTGAAGGAGGAAGTCAAAGGTGCATTGAGGGAGTGACAAAGAACAAGGCACCAGGAATTGATGGAATAAAAATGGAAATCTTTCAAGAAAATGAGGCGACACAGGAGGAAATTTGAAAGACAACTATCTGGCCAACTAGTTGGAAGAGATCCATATTTGTGCCCATTCCAAAGAGAGGTGACCCAATGGAATGAGAAAATCACCAGACAATCTTTTTTATATGCGAGTGAAGTTTTGCTAAAGGTAATACAGAAACGGCTACAATCATACATTGACAGAGAA